GAGCCCCTCGAGTATTAGGGGGCTGGAGTTTGCCAAACTACATGGCCCAGGGCCGGTGTCCCTCACCTCTGCCTCTTTTCCCAGTTTACTGATGTCCTTCCCGTGTACATGTAGGCTAGGGCAGGGGTAGGACTGGCTGGTCATGAAGCTTCAGTTGAGTAGTTGGTAACATGCCTGTGCTGGGTGCAGATGGCCGAGACTGTATTTAGCTTGTTTTCCAGAAGCAGGGAAATAGCTCCTACTCTTAGTCATTTGAACCCATCCATCCGTTGAGGAACCTGTGATTTCATAGGCTGAAGATTTAAAGGTTGGAGACTGGTGTGGAGCCCTGCAGAAGAGGGATCTGGAAGTGGGAGCCCATTGAAAGAAAGATGATTAGATAGAACTTAGAGAAATAGAATTATAACTACCAGGACTCTGTCTTTCCAACAGTCTCTCTCCTTGGGTATCTGAGTGCCTCGGAAGGTTTTTAAAGGGCTTGCTAGTTTATATGGACCTCAGTAAGGTAGGGCTTACGTAGGGAAAATAATTGGATTTTATAATGTTTAATGTTTTAATTTTTATGGGAAGAGTATTCCTAAAAACAACTTATACATTTGTTCCTTAACTTTTGTACATTTAGCTTTGAAACATTTCAGGGGACACCCTGTACTGTTTTAGGGTGAAGGGAAGCAGTGGGGCCTTCTTAAATGGCTTCCATGCTGAAGAACAAAGGCCACCATTTTTGAATGACACACATTAGTCTTTGAACCAGAGATAGATAACAGAGAAAGGGTGTTTTATCTTTCTCCCTCAGGTTATCAAGTTTGTTCCAGTTCAGGTAACAAAAGGTGTGTTAGCCCTTAATTGGATTTTTAGTTTACCTTTCAGGGGTGACAGTTTATGAAGACAAATTATTCTCAGGTTTTGGCAGTATATTGGGAGTCACTGTTGGTTATAGAACTATAGGTGAGTCTTCACTGAATATTTCATGGTTTAGGAGTGGCAGAGTCAAAATAGGTAACTATTATAGAACAGTTTTTTAAAATAGGCCAAATTCTAATTACATTAAGATACATTGTTTAATTGTTTAATATACAGATAGCCAACCTTTCACCAGATTTTGTTTTTGTTTTTGTATTTGTTTTTTGGAAGGGGAACCTGGATATGAACCAGCAGATTTTTTTTTTTTTTTTTTTAAAGAAATGAACTTGCTCATTTTTGTTGTGTGGTTTTGTGCTAAAGGCTTTCCGACAAACCGGGTATTGATGATTCGTGGCCTACCTCAGATGATGAAGACTTGGATTTTGACACCAAGGTAAAGTGGTCTCTTGTGAAATTAATTTTCTCACTTTGAATCTCATTTTTTACAGTATTTACTTTTTAAATTTAACAGTGGTCTACCTATCACTGTTTTCTGTTGGTAGTGGAGAGGAGGTAAGAGGAAACCATTTTATAGAATTATGACTAGTCGAATTTTTTTGTTTTTTTTACATTTTTACCTTGGCAGATAATGAAAGATTGGTGAATACTTTGAGGGGGTGGGGGCTGAAAAAAGAATGGGCTGGAAAATATCCTGTATATAAAAATATAAAAGAAATAATGAAATTTGGTCAAGGTTTACTTGTATAAATCCTCTTACTGTGACTTTTAAATGATACTAACATGACTTTTATAATACTTATGGCTAAAATAAATCTTTAATGAATCTAATTACTTATTACAGTAATCATGGAATCTCTTGGTGCCCTTCCATTCCAAAACTGTGCAGTGTATAACTTATAGTTTCTTTTTTTTCTTGGACACTTAATTTTGGTATCATATAGTTTTTAGGAGAGAGCTTTTTCTCTGTTTTTATGCTTGGTTCTGTAATTAGACTAAAATAATATTAGAAATTGTGGAAACTTAGCTAGGCATGGTGGCTCATGCCTGTAGTCCCAACTCCTGGGAAAACTGAAGTGAGAGGATTGCTTGAGTCCAGGAGTTAGAGATCAGCCTGGGCAACAGAGTGAGACCCCATCTCTGATTTAAAAAAAAAATAGAAAAGAAATTGTGGAAATTTAGAAATTTAAATTCTCTTTCTGAAAATCATTATTATAAAGGGATTCCACGGGTGCTTTTAAAGTCATTCCATTAAGTAGATATTTAAAACTTTTCATCTAATTGAAGAATACATGTTTTGCCCCAAATAATAGCCAGTTCTAGAAGTAGATACTCTCAATAACCGTATGGTAAGATTTTAATTTCAGAAGTTTTTGTATTGTAGTTTTTAAAACTAACCTCTCAATGTCCTTGTATCACATAAAACTTCACATTTCAGAAGAGTTTGTATTTAGTTATTTAAATAATTATTTTAAAGCTCTGGTATTACTGTGAGCTATTGGAGGTTAGGAAATATATTTGTGTGTATCCTGAAGTACCTAGAATAAAATTTTGCATGTAAGAAGCATTTTAATGTTTTCTGAATGTGAATAAATCAACAGGCAAATGATTTCTATATAATGTAGTGTCA